CCTAGAGGTCTGCTGTCCGACCTACGACCTATGGTCGACAATAATGTCTTGTTCACTTGAAATTTGTTAAGAGGACAGAGCTCATATTAAATATTCAAACAACGATATACAATAATAAATATTATATATAAATAATTATAATGATTACATATAATCACAATATAATTAATATATTATTATTTTTAATTGTTTATCATTTTATAGTCATTACATATATAATTGTTTATATATAATAATATAGCAAATTATAATAGTTTTATATGTAATTGTCAATATATAAACTATATACATATATATATACAAGTTCATATATAATTGTTAATATACATAAACTATTACAATTATATATATACAATTAACAATCTGTGTGTGTGTGTGTGTGTGTGTGTGTGTGTGTGGAGATGGAGTCTCGCTCTGTTGCCCAGACTGGAGTGCAGTGATGTGATCTTAGCTCACTGCAACCTCTGCCTCCCAGGCTCAAGCAATTCTCTTGCCTCAGTCTCCCGAGTAGCTGGGATTACAGGCACCTGCCACCACGCCTGGCTAATTTTTGTATTTTAGTAGAAATGGGGTTTCACCATGTTAGCCAGGCTGGTCTCCAACTCCAGACCTCATGTGATCCACCCATCTCAGCCTCCCAAAGTGCTGGGATTACAGGCATGAGCCACTGCGCCTGGCCCCTTTAACAATTTTAATTGTTATTATATATATTATGTATAATACACACACACACACACACACACACTCTCTCTCTCTCTCTCTCTCTTTACTAAGATGAGTTCTCTTCCCCTCATCCCACAGTGTCATTTGGCTCCAGGTGGGGGTGGTGGGGGTGAGGTGGTCCAACAGCACATGCAAAATCCCAAAGGGGTTGAATGGGAAGGAGATGGTGCTTAGAACCTGGCATTAAGGTGTGGGGCCAGATGGGCACCCAGCTGGGTGCTGGAATGAGGAGCAGGACCAGGACAAGCAGTGCATTTCGGCATCATGGAGCTAGGGGGACAGCAGCCCACCCTATCATGGATTCTCATCTCTGCTGCTTCTGAGGACACTGGGGAGCTTGTCTCCAGGTGTAACTGTCGCAGACATTGATGAGGGTCTGCACCGCAGCCATTACTCACTTCTTCCTTAACAACCAAAACCAGTTCTGTTTGAGTGGCTATGCTCCAAGCCCAGGGAGCAAGTGGGAGGGAAATGGAGTTTAGATTAAGGCGATTTTAGCAATCCCATTTTCAGGGTTTGATTCAGAGCAGGGCATATGACCAGATATGACCAATAATACTTAAGGCAGAATAGAACAATGTTCCTGGAAATCATATTTATCTCTTAATAACAGAGGGTTTCAAAAAAAAAGAAAAGAAAAGAAAGTCTTTTGCATCAGAATAGTCCAAACATTTCAAAAACATTGAAACATTCCATCATAATCACTACATTGCAGACTAGTCCTCCTCCCGAGACGCGGTGACTGTAATGATCTCAAGCTGGGATCTCATGGACAGACAGGGGAACTCAAGCTAAACCCTGGTCCTCAAAGAGTTCTGCATGATGCAGTCCCGGGTATGTTCTTCCAATCTAATCCAATGTTCTGTGAGTATGTTAGACTGAGCCCATAAGACAGCAATCCATCTAAAAAATAACAATAAACCAACTAAAACTGCTTAATATAATATATTAAAGATATTTTTTAGGCCAGGCACAGTGGCTCACGCCTGTAATCCCAGCACTTTGGGAGGCCGAGGCAGCCGGATCACAAGGTCAGGAGATCAAGACCATCCTGGCTAACACGGTAAAACCCCATCCCTACTAAAAATACAAAAAAAAAATTAGCCAGGCGTGGTGGCGGGCGCCTATTGTCCCAGCTACTCAGGAGACTGAGGCAGGAGAATGGTGTGAACCCGGGAGGCGGAGCTTGCAGTGAGCCGAGATGGTGCCACTGCACTCCAGCCTGGGCGACAGAGCGAGACTCCGTCTCAAAAAAAAAAAAAAAAAAACTAAAAATAGAGCTACTATATGGTCCAGTAATCAATCCCACTTCTGGGTCTACATTTCAAAGAAACAAATTCAGTATGGGAAGAGCCATCTGAACTCCCCCAATATTCACAATAGCTAAGACGTGAAGATCATCTACATGTCCATTGACGGATGAATGGACGTGGAAAATGTGGTACACGCACACAGGGGAATACTACTGAGCCTTAACAAGGAAGACAATTCCGCCATGGGTGACAACACAGACGAACTCTGAGGACATCACGCCAAGCGATGCAGATGCAGAGACCAAGTACTGTATGATGTCACTTACAGGGGTCTGCAGAGTCACCAGAGTCACATCACAGCCGTCAGTGGTGGTTACGGGGGCTGGGAGGAGGGGAAAATGGGGAGTTATTAACAAACAGGACCTAGAGGTCTGCTGTCCGACCTACGACCTATGGTCGACAATAATGTCTTGTTCACTTGAAATTTGTTAAGAGGACAGAGCTCATATTAAATATTCAAACAACGATATACAATAATAAATATTATATATAAATAATTATAATGATTAC